TTGTTTTGTTCTTTTTGTTACTACAATTGAAGTACACTCAGCGGCCACTTTATTAGGTACACCTTACTAGTAGCAGGTTGGACCCCCTTTTACCTTCAGAACTGCCTTAATCCTTCATGGTGTAGATTCAACAAGCTACTGGAAATGTTCCTCAGAGATTTTGCTCCATATTGACATGATAGCATCACACAGTTGCTGCAGATTTGTCGGCTGCACGTGCATGGATCCAATCTCCCGTTCCACCACATCCCAAAGCTGCTCTATTGGATTGAGCTCTGGTGACTGTGGAGGCCATTTGAGTACAGTGAACTCATCGTCATGTTCAAGAAACCAGTCTGAGATGATTGAGCTTTATGACATGCTGCGTTATCCTGCTGGAAGTAGCCATCAGAAGATGGAGACACTGTGCTCATAAAGGGATGGACATGGTCAGCAGCAATACTCAGGTAGGCTGTGGCGTTGATGCTCAATTGGTACTAATGGACCCAAAGAAAATCTCCCCCACACCATTACACCACCAGCACCAGCCTGAACCGCTGATACAAGGCAGGATGATCCATGCTTTCATGTTGTTAAGACCAAATTGTGAGCCGAGCATCTGAATGTGTCAGCAGAAATGGAGACTCATCAGAGCAGCAACGTTTCTCCAATCTTCTATTGTCCAGTTTTGGTGAGTCTGTGTGAATTGTAGCCTCAGTTTCCTGTTCTTAGCTGACAGGAGCGGCACCCGGTGTGCTCTTCTGCTGCTGTAGCCCATCCGCCTCAAGGTTGGACGTGTTGTGTGTTCAGAGATGCTCTTCTGCAGAGCTCGGCTGTAACGAGTGCTTATTTGAGTTACTGTTGCCTTTCCATCAGCTGGAACCAGTCTGGCCATTCTCCTCTGAGCATCAACAAGGCATTTGCGCCCACAGAACTGCCGCTCACTGGATATTTCCTCTTTGTCAGACCATTCTCTGTAAAACCTAGAGATGGTTGTGCATGAAATTCCCAGTAGATCAGCAGTTTCTGAAATACTCAGACCAGCCCGTCTGGAACCAACAATCATTCCACGTTAAAATCCCCTTTCTTCCCAATTCTGATGCTCAGTTTGAACTGCAGCAGATCGCCTTTATTATGTCTACATGCCTAAATGCATTGAGTTGCTGCCATGCGATTGGCTGATTAGAATCTTGCGTTAACGAGCAGTTGGACAGGTGTACCTAATAAAGTGGCCGGTGAGTGTATTTCAAATTTCTAAAAATTAATAATAATAAAAAACAATGAGCACAACATCACCACAAAACGAATTGCTACGAATTTTTTATTTATTATTACAAAACTGTCTGATGCAACTACTGCAGTTTTTCCCTATCCTAGCATGTTAACTGCGATCTGTTGGTGCTTTATATTAGATGACAAATGTTTATTTATTGTATAGCATGCAATATTTACACAAAAAAAACAACCTAAAAGTAGACTGAATTCCTGAATTATTAATCAGCCACACATGCGCAATGCGCATTTCACGCAGTTGCTTATAGGCTACTATTTCTCATCCAGCATGAACGCACTGCATAACTGACAAGCAAAGCACAACATTTAGATCAAATCTCATCATCTTTATCCATTATCTGCTCTACATTTCTGCTAATGACCTTGACAGACGGAGCAAGAGAAAGAGATTTACCTCAGAGCGAAAATGATGCGGCCGGAAACCAGCTTCTAGAACAAATGGGAATGATTGAAACAAACCCCACATGCATTCAGTCTGAGTATTCAGCACATGACTTTATCTGCTCTTAAAATAAAACACACTTCATTAGCACAAACACACACACATACATAAAATAAGGACACACGCACAAATGAGGTTGACAATTCCTCGCATGCGCTTGTTCTGATGAGCTCATGAAGACACAAATGAATGAAAACCACCAATAAACACCATCCTCAAGCACGTTTTACGCAATGACACGTTATAAACACACGCATTTACATGGCTATATGTCGTATAGGCGTGATGCCTACTCACCGCGACTCCTGGAGCGCCTGGAGAGCACAGATTTTATAGGGATTTTCTCATTGCGGAGCTTGCGGTGCCAACAGCACAGAAAGAGCACGGTGGCGATAGTTCCTATTAAAAGCAGCAGCAGCAATAACACACACTGAAGACTTAAGGGTCTCAATAAGACCAGGAAAGCCGCAGCGATCATTGCGATGTAGGACAGCCACTCCTACACGCGCTTCTCTCTCCGCCCGTGTCTATAAACGAGGCTGTTTGATGCTGTGATGATGATGAGGATGAAGGTCTTCGGCGGGTAATCTTTCATCTGCTGGTGCTTCAGGAATGGAGCCATGACTCAGCAGGAGCCCGTGTTTTACAGCTCGAGCAGGGCAGCATCAGCATCTCAGTGTAGGCACACACACACGGGGGGAGAGAGAGAGAGTCCACGTCATGTGTCCATGCTCACACATTTGATTTGACAAACCCACAAAACCAGTCATGAGTTAGTGAATATGCATCTGAAAGCTGAATAAATTAGTGTTGCATGGTTTGATAGGACAGTCTTTGGCTGAGATGTTTGAAAATCTGGAATATGAGGGTGCAAAATAAAACACAAATCTAAAATCCTCATTAAATGTGCAAATTAAACTCCTCAAAAATCAACACTGGGATTTAAATTGTACAATAGAAAATTGACACAATAACTTAATGAAACAGGATCTTTATTTAATAGGATTTTGGCATAAAAGTCCAAATCTATGGGCTAATTTGGACCCATGTTGTGTTGGTAATTGCCAAAAATATACCCGTGCAACACATATATGAGATATTTGAGAAACCCAGGTAAATGTCTGTAAATATATTATGCCTTTTTTTAATACATGCGTCATAAATAAAGTGCTAATAATTTATGAATTTACTTTGAATCTTCGGTTGGTCTATTTACATAGAAATAAATACAAAAAAACAGTACAATAAAATAAAAGAAAATACACAATAATGTCAATATTTATTTAAAAAATAAATACATTATTATTACTATAAAATATTTTATTATTATTATTATATTTTATTTATTTATTTATTATTATTATTATTATTTTTTACAAAATATCTGCATGAAACAGGATCTTTATTTAATATAGTTTTGGCACAAAAGTTTAAAGCTATAGTTTTGACCGATGCTGTTTTCCCCATGCAACTTTTGGACAATATTTGGCTGAGATACCAATCTGGTATCTGAGTGTGCAAAAGCATCTAAATATTAAGAAAATCACCTTTAAGTTTGTGCAAAATAATAATTAGGTTTTATTTATTTACAATATGTACAATTGTTACAAAATATCTTAATGGTATCTTATTATAATATCTTATTAATATCTTATTATTATTATTAATATTATTATTTCATTTATTTATTTATTTTTACAAAATATAATGGAACATGATCTTTATTTATTATTGTAATGATTTTAATACTAAATAATCTATGATTTTGACACACAATGTTTCTTTGGTCATTGCCAAAAATATTCCCGTGCAACTCAGCACTGGTTTTGTGGTCCAGAGTTACATATTTGAGAAACCCTGGACCTCAAACCAGCCACAAGTGTGAATTTTTGAAGATTGAGATTCATAAGATATATGAGAAAAAAATCTAAATATTGAGAAAATCACCTTTATATGTGTGCAAATTAAGCTCTCCAAAAAATTAAAACTGAGATTTCATTTATGTACAATAGGAAATTAATTAAAAAAAAATATGAAACATAATCTTTATTTAATGTATTTAATAGGATTTTTGACAACTAACATCTGGCAGTCTCAATCTATGGCCTAATTTTTACCCATGTTGAGTTGGTCATTGACAAAAGTATACCAAAATATATCACATTTGAGAAACCCTGGACTACAAAACCAGGCAAGAGTATGAATTTTTGAAGATGGAGTTTTCTGCATTATGTGAAAGCTGAATAAATAAGCTGTTTAAATACGCTGGCATCTAAATCTATCCTTTTGACCAATCTTGTTTTGGTAATTGGGAAAAATAGCTGTGCAACTTAAAACTGGTTTTGCATTATATGAAAGCGGAATAAATTAGCATTGAATGGTTTGAATGGACAATAGTTGGCTGAGATTTAAAAGTCTTGAATCTGAAGGTGAAAAAAAAGTCTAAATGTTGAAATAATCACCTCTAATGTTGTGCAAAATAATAATGAGTTTAAATTTTTGACCAATATGAAATTGGCAAAATATCTTAATGGAACTATAAAGAAATTACCTTTATTTAATATGATTATGGCTTAAAAGTCTAAATCTACAGCCTAATTTTGACTTATGCATGTTGTTTTGGTCATTGCCAAAATATACCCAGGCAACTTAACACTAGTTTTGTTGTCCAGCGTCACATATTTGAGAAACCCTGGACCACAAAAATAATAACAACAGTGATTTTTTTGAACATGTGAATTCGTGCATTATGTGAAAGATGAATAAATTAGAGTTGCATGGTTTGATATGACAATATTTGCCTTGGAAATCTGGAATCTAAGAGTGCAAAAAAAAAAAAATCTAAATATTGTGAAAATCACCTTTATCAGTGCAAACAAAGCTCTTCAAAAATCAAAAACTGAGATTTCATTTATTTTAGCAAATTTTAGCAAATAGCAAATTGACAAAATATCTTCATGATGCATACAATTAAAAAGATAACAATTGTATTTACAGACAATTATACAAATATAAATTTTGGTTAATGAACATACACGCTGCAATTGACCAGGCATGCCATATTACTGTGAAACACAATGTTTTTTATTTTTTTTTTAATGGGGTTTATAACCTTATATAAATGCATTTTGACAGACAGAGCAAGAGAAACATCAATTTACTTAGAGTCTTCAGTTAGTTTATGGTTGTCAATTTGAATAAAAAATACAACAAATAAAATACACAATAGTTTGAATAATTGTTTAAATAAAAATGATGATCAAAAACAAAAAAGCGGCCGACCGTTAGAAAGACTCTTATTTTGACGAGCCTCCTCTTCCTGCTTTGGCTTCTGGTGTCCGCTTCAGATGTGTGCTTGGATTTGGTAATGTTTTGCTAACTTTGCCTCGAATCGGCTTTCAGAAATTACAATTTTGTCTTGACAGTGAATCGTTTGTAAGTAATATAGTTGCAGAATTTCCTTCAAGACGGTAGTTTGGCGTCCTCTCATTGTTGACGACTTGTTTACATGTTTGCACGATTGATAATCTCTGTCGATTTCCTGTCAAATGCGGCGCAAATCCTCATTAAATGAATATTTAACCGATAGTTAAAGTGATAAATGTGTATGTGTAGATAATAAATGATTTATTTTCTGCTGATCAAGCATATTGTATGTATGTGTAACGTTATATATATATATATATATATATATATATATATATATATATATATATATATATATATATATATATATGTGTGTGTATCTGTCTGTCTGTCTGTCTGTCTATGTCTGTCTATCTCTCTGTCTATCTATCTATCTATCTATCTATCTATCTATCTATCTATCTATCTATCTATCTATCTATCTATCTATCTATCTATCTCTCACACTGTGTGTGTGTGTGTGTTGACAGTGATGGATGTGATGCTCCAGAATCGCAGCGGTGATGTTTGAGGATCCGGAAGATGATGTGCAGTTCGTGTCTGTAAGTGTCTTTTCATCATTTCTAGGACAGAGGTTTGGATGTAGGTCTGTACACTGGGGATCTGAATAAATCTAGAGGCAAAGTTGGTTTCATATTTGCACATTCAGGCTTTCTGCTTATTATAATTTCACAAAAGTATTCTTTGCAAATTGTAAATAGGGAAATTATATTAGCAGCCAATGAATATCAAAGTACAACATTAATCATAGTCAATTAATAGTGCTAATGTTGTTTTTAGGTCATACCTGCATGCGATTTTAAATCCAATTTTCAAAGTAGGTAATATTGTAAACAATATAGGAAGCGTTTCACAAGTTCAAAACTTGTTCACACAACAAATTTGCAAATATAAATTAAACTTTTCCTCAGTGTAAGATGGAACATGCGCGCGCGCGTGTGTGTGTGTGTGTGTGTGTGTGTGTGTGTGTATTCATGCTAAGGACGTCACATACACTCCATTTCCAATCACCAAAAACGCTTTAAAATCTGTGTGAAATTAAAATTTGCAATGTTTATTTTGCCAGCACAAATTGCTATTTTTTTTAGTGGAACAATTAATCTGTGTGGCTCAGTTTGATACTTTGCTAGCGACAGTGGAACCACATATTAAAAAGAAGACCACCAATTTCTGAACCAATTGATCCTAAACAGAGACTGGCACTTTTCGGCCCTGAAATGTCAAAACATCTCTCAAAATGCCTTTTCAGATGTGAAAAATTGAAAAGATTTAACCTGATTCGAATTGTTTTATGATGGACGAACGTTTCGGAAGTGTGTCTATCTAATTGACACAATGTTTACGAATTTATTTTTTAGCATGCGAAAATAGCTGATAAAATGTTGGACTTTCTGTGTGCAATATCCTTTACTCTTCATCATCAACAAGATTTCTGCAAAAGCCCTGTAGGATGATGAAGACCACAACTCCCATGATTCCACACTGAGTCACAGAGTCATCAAATTACGCTGTTGTTAGTTGTGAATACACGCCCTCTAGTGGCCAGAATGACACACTGTGTCTTTAAACAGCACTGTTGAATTCAGCTTAAATGGTGTTGTTTAGGAGGCTCCTCTCAGACCAGTGCTGGAATGCATTGACCTGCTGAGTGACGGAGATGATGAAGACGATTTACCTGCTGCAAACACGGTAAAGTTTCTACTAATTATATAAGTTAAATAAAGTCAAGTTCAGCTCACTGTCAGGCGGCTTCAGACCTGTAGTATTTGTACTGTTTAAAACAAAAGATGTTTTTTTTTTCTTCTGACAAATACATTGCTGTTTTCACTTAAATCGATTATGAAATTTTAACAGCAGATGGCGCTCTAGGCTAGTTTTGTAAACAGAAAAGTGCTTTAGGCTAGTTTTAAACAGCAGATGGCGCTCTAGGCTAGTTTTTAACAGTAGGTGGCGCTCTAGGATACTTTTTACCAGCAGATGGAGCTCTAGGCTAGTTTTTAACAGTAGATGGCACTCTAGGATAGTTTTTACACCAGATAGAGCTCTAGGCTAGTTTTTAACAGTAGACGGCGCTCTAGGATAGTTTTTAATAGCAGATAGAGCTCTAGGCTAGTTTTTAACAGTAGACGGCGCTCTAGGATAGTTTTTAACAGCAGATAGAGCTCTAGGCTAGTTTTTAACAGTAGACGGCGCTCTAGGATAGTTTTTAACAGCAGATAGAGCTCTAGGCTAGTTTTTAACAGTAGACGGCGCTCTAGGATAGTTTTTAACAGCAGATAGAGCTCTAGGCTAGTTTTAACAGTAGATGGCGCTCTAGGATAGTTTTTACACCAGATAGAGCTCTAGGCTAGTTTTTAACAGTAGACGGCGCTCTAGGATAGTTTTTATCAGTAGATGGCGCTCTAGGATAGTTTTTAACAGCAGATGGCGCTCTAGGCAAGTGTTTAACAGAAGATGGTGCTCTAGGCTAGTTTTTAAAAGTAGATTGTGCTCTAGTTTAGTTTTTAACAGCAGAAGGCGCTCGGCTAGTTTTTAACAGTAGATGGCACTCTAGGCTAGTTTTTAACAGTAGATAACACTCTAGGATAGTTTTTTTTAACAGCAGATGGCGCTCTAGGCTAGTTTTTAACAGTAGATAACACTCTAGGATAGTTTTTTTAACAGCAGATGGCGCTCTAGGCTAGTTTTTAACAGTAGATGGCGCTCTAGGCTAGTTTTTTACAGTAGATGGCACTCTAGGATCGTTTTTTTAACAGCAGATGGTGCTCTAGGCTAGTTTTTAAAAGTAGATGGCGCTCTAGGCTAGTTTTTAATAGTAGATGGCACTTAAGGCTAGTTTTTAACAGCAGACGGCTCTCTGGGCTAGTTTTTTACAGTAGATGGTGCTCTAGGCTGGTTTTTAACAGTAGATGGCGCTCTAGGATAGTTTTTAAAAGCAGATGGTGCTCTAGGCTAGTTTTATTGAGTAGATGGCGCTCTAGACTGGTTTTTACCAGTAGATGGTGCTCTAGGATAGTTTTTAACAGCAGGCGGCGCTCTAGACTAGTTTTTAACAGCAGATGGTGCTCTAGGATATTTTTTTAAAAGCAGATAGCACTCTAGGCTACTTTTTAAGAGCAGACGGCGCTCTAGACTAGTTTTTAACAGCAAATGGTGCTCTAGGCTAGTTTGTAACAGCAGACGGCGCTCTAGGCTAGTTTTGGACAGCAGACTGCACTCTGTGCAAGTTTTTAAACAGCAGACTGTGTTCTAGGCTAGTTTTTAACCTCAGGCGAAGCTCTAGGCTAATTTCTAACACCAGAGGACACTCTAGACTATTTTTTAAACAAAAAATGGTGCTGTAGGCTAATGTTTTACATCAGAGGGAGCCCTAGGCTAGGTTTTTTATACGGTAAACAGTGCTCTAGGCTAGTTTTTAACTGCAAAAATCAGCACAGGGTGAATAAAAACGACCCAACAACACACAAACAGGGTTAAGTATATGACTGAGTCCAATGCTGTTGAACTGTTGTGTCTTTATTGGTGACTGATGATGGTTTGCTGTGTGTGGTGTTCAGATCGAGCAGCAGGTGGACCGCCAGAGAGCTCATGCCGTCTCCACACTGGACAGACTGGCTCAGCAGGTCGCGGTGGAGAAACAGGAGAGGGCCGAAAAGAGGAAAGCCTTCAAGGTTTGACTCCTCTATACACTTAGAGAAGCCATATTCTTGCACGGACCATTTATTTGAGGTTGAGTTAAAAGATTGTACATGACTCTTTTCAGTGTTGTTGTTTTTTTTTGTATGTATTTTATGTTTATTAAGAAAGGAATATGATTGCATGTTATATATTGTATATTTAGTATAGGTTTTGCCCTGAACATGACATGGCAAAGCAGATATGGTATTAAAGCATAAATAAATCAAATTAATTTGAGGTTAAGTGCTGACGTATGTTTCTAGAGTCTCTATTTTCTCTAAATGCTTACCTGTTAAAATAAATGATGTACCCAGAAGCCAGATCTGCCTTAAAGCTTGAAAGAAATACAGATTTAATATTAATATTGTAGTAATAATCAATGTCAACTGATTTGAAAGTGCATTTTTTTGTCTATATCACCCAGCACTCCTACTGCAGTATTTTGTATTTGTTTTGTAGGAGAAGATGATTTCGCTGCAGGCACAAGGACGCCGCGAGCTGTCGGTCAGCCATGATAATAGTGCAAGCGGCGATGCCAAACGATGTGTGGATATTTGGCTAAAAATGCCAGGTAAGTAGTGTTCTTCTGTCAAGGGATAGTTCACCCAAACCAGAAACCCTGTTCATTTATTCTCCCTCAGCCCACCCAAGATATAGGTGTTTGCTTTTCCTCAAGAAGATTTTTAGAGGATGTTTACATTGTCATATACACTTGAAGTCAGAATTATTAGCTCTCCTGTATATTTCCCCCCCAATTTCTGTTTCACAGAGAGACTTTTCTCAACACATTTCTAATCATAATAGTTTTAATAACTCATTTCTAATAGCTGATTTCTTTTCTCTTTGTCATGATGACAGCACATAATATTAGACTAGATATTCTTCAAGACACTAGTATTCAGCTTAAAGTGACATTTAAAGGCTTAACCAGGGTAATTAGGGTAAAGTTAGGGTAATTAGGCAAGTCATTGCATAACAGTGCAATCCAAAATAAATATTGGTTAAGGGGGCTAATAATATTGACCTTAAAATGGGTTTATAAAAAATTAAAAACTCCTTTTCAAGCCGAAATGAAACGAATAAGACTTTCCCCAGCAGAAAAAAAATGTTAGTAATACTGTGAAAAATTTCTGAATCTGTTAAAAATCATTCGGGAATTATCTGAAAAAGAAAATTGACAAGAGGGCGAATATTTATGATTTCAACTGTATATAAATGTTCATTTCTTCTGTGCCGCTCAGGACTGCAGCCGGGCTCCATTTATTCAGGCTCTCTGTGGAAGCGCAGATCGGCTCCTCCTGCGGTGAGATTTTCTCCTCAGAGCTGTCCGGTCATCAACTGCGGACGAGTCTACGACAATATTCCTCTGCTTCAGGGACATCTCAAAAGGTGTGGGGTTTTTTTGCTCTGAATGTGTACATGTGCAATTTCATTTATGTAATTGTACATTTAAAATGTACAACTGTATACATAAAATTAAATTAAAAAATTTTTATATATATATATATATATATATATATATATATATATATATATATATATATATAAATTTAGAGACCCTTAATAAAAAGGGGGTGCACCGATGTATTGTTCACTGATTTTTATGGATATTGGATTAATGTAAAGCTATCAACAATAATATAGGAATATAGAAAGGCAGACACTGATAGTTTATTAAGTACATGAAGGGAAATGAGCTGCATCTTTTTTGAATAATCCAATCTCTCAGCAAAAATCATTAAAGGGGACATATTATGCCCCTTTTTCAAGGATAAAATAATAAAATGCGTCTCTGAAGTGTGTGAAGTTTAGCTGAAAATACCACACAGATAATGTTTTATACCTCTGAAACTGCCCCTTTTAGGCTTTAATGCTAATCGTGTGGTGTTTTGGTGACTGTCGCTTTAAATTCAAATGAGATTGTGCTCTTTTCAGAAGAGGGCGGAGCTATAAATGCATGTGTGCCAGCATAGTGACAGATTCTAAACAAGACTAACGTCCTATGCTAATGAGGGAGAGATGGTCGCTATTGGGCGGGGCTTAACCCCTCTGATGACACGTGCGAAGAGAGAATGTCAATCAAAGTGTTCTGTGTGTACCCTGTGTAATTTCAGGTTTGATCATTCACCCTGTGACCCCACCATCACCCTGAAAGGCACCGCACCATCCATCTATGCCTGTTTGGCCTGTGGAGAACACTTCTGCTCCCAGGAGACATGGAAACAACACATGCAGTCCAAGGTTTTCCTTCATTCATTAATTTTCCTTTGGCTTCGTCCCTTATTTATTAGCGGTCACCACAGCGGAATGAACCGCCAACTATTCCAGCATTTGTTTTACACAGCGGACGCCCTTCCAGCCACAACCTAGTACTGGGAAACACCCATATACACTCATTCACACACACACACACTCCTTATAAAAGTGCTTTTTGCATAATAGGTGCCGTTTAAAGCTAGTGCTTGACTGTCTCACCATGTTAAAGAAGTGTGTCTGCTTCTGTCTGCAGCTGTCATCGGATGGTCACCGTCGCTCTCAGATGTATCAGATGATCGTGGGCTTCGCCTGTCCCTCCTGCTACTTCCTCTTCAACAGCAAAGACGAGTGCTGTAAACACATGAACGCAAGAAAACACAACCGTCAAGTCATTTCTCTTACCGGTGTGTGCGACCTTTTTTATTAAGATTGGCAAGGTTTATTTTACTCCAGCTATTTGTGAAGGAAATAACTCTGATTTCTATTCAATTTAAGGTAAAATGTAAAGTAAGATCGGCGGGAAAAAACATGTATACTAAGGTTTTAACTACATTTTGGATGCAAACAAAGTAAGAAATCAAAACCAGGGATTTAGGCGGATATCTTTAAACGGTGGTGTCCAAAGTCGGTCCTGGAGGGCCCGTGTGCTGCTGACTTTAGCTCCAACTTGCTTCAACACACCTGTCTGGAAGTTTCTGGTATATCTAGTAAGAGCTTGATTAGCTTGTTCAGGTTTGTTTGATTAGGGCTGGAGCTGAACTCTCCAGGACACCGGCCCTCCAGGAACAAGTGTGGACACCCCTGTCTTAAAACATGAGTAATCTATAAAGAACATTTTGGGTCCTTTTTACATGACTAATGAAGTTTGTATGCTGTCTGCTTATGTCCAGTACTACTGCTATCCACAGGTGTATTTATATTTAAATTTAATTTAATGCAGCATTTAATTAAAATCAGTGCAGAATTCATTTGAATTTAGTGCAGCACAACACATTGCATGTTTGTCCTTTGGTTCTGTAGTTTGTTTCATTTTCTTTTGTCTTCTGTTGTGTCTTTTTCATTTTTCAATGAAAAAAACAAACAAAATTGAAACCAATTCATACTATTAATAAAAATATAATAACAACAACTCATTAAAGCTGAAATACATTTTTATTAAAATATTATATTATATATAAAATGAGTTTTATTCCAGCATCGAGAAACTATTAGTCATTTCTTTTATCAATGGTTTAAATTGGATTGGTTTCTTGTTTTTTTTTATAATAGAAAACAATAGAAAATAATACAGATTATAGATTATAATACCACTGGTTACAGCTACAGCTAGTGGTTTAATTTGGACTGGACAATTTTGGGTCACACTTTATCTTAATGAATAATTCTCTCTATTAACAAACCAATAACTAAGGTTTTTAGCTCAGTTATCTCCTAATCTGCTGCTTATTAATAGTTATTATAGTAAAAGTTGGGTTTAGGTATTGGGTGTGATTAGGGATGTAGAATAAGATCATGAAGAATATGTGCTTTACAAGTACTAATAAACAGCAAATATCTTAATAATGGGGTATATGCCGGAGCATGCTAATAGGACTTTTAATTTGCTATTTACCTGCTATTAAACTGTATGCCATTGCAAAATTGGCGCGTTTAAGGTCTATATTCTTTAAAAATCAGCAATCTCCACTGGCTGAGTGATATCTGATGTAAAGTGGGTCTCAGATTGTGCAAGAAGCACTGCATTAAATGACATTTCCACCGTCATGTCTTTATAATATGAGCATTTATTTTAGCCCAGTATATTCAATGGAGCTTCTGCGCTAGTTTGCTGATTCTAACGAGCGCGTGCGAGTAAACGGCTTTTTGTCTCGTTTTATGCTTGAGCAACTAAATGAATGCCAAAGTCTGTTTAACTGAATGTATTTTAACTACATTACAACATCAATGCTGTTAAAGGAACCGTATAAAATGGAAAAAAACTCACAATAACAGCTCACCGGAAGTTTATCAGTATGGGAACAACACTAGCTTGACATATACCCTATAGAGAGGTAATAAGACACTAGTTATCTTTCTTTCTTTCGTTCTAAAATGTCAAATTACGTGTCTGTCAATATTGCTTTGAGTGTCCAGAAAAGCACAATATAAATGTAAGGAATTATTATTATTATTATTATTTACTTTGAACACGTTCTTGAATCTGTTGTTTGGTGTTTTGTCTTTCAGAAGAGAAAGCATCAGCAGTGCCTGTTCCTGTGCCGCGCTTCGCTAAACAGCGTCTAATCGCTCTCTGTAAAGACATCGGCTTCAGCGTGCGATGCACAGTCTGCTCTCAGCGGCTCAACTCGCACATGGAGGCCACCGCACACTTCAAGTACGCTTACACTGGGTTCCATGGCTTAAATTTACATGATGCATGATACTTTTTAAAATATATATCCAAAATCCACTAACCCTAACAGCAGTGAGGCTTTAATATGGTGTGTGTTTTATTCGACTGCACTGAGCAGCGTAATAACAGAAGTCTAGAATGTGTTTAGTATGATTAAACAATGCTGCTTCTTCTCTATGTAAAAACCCGGAAGCGCTGGACTGTGGCATAATAAAAGCAATATGGATATCATGAGCGCTTAAAATGCAATGAATGAAGTTATTATTATTATTTCAACTTTTTTAAGGAATATTCAATATTAACATCAGTTAAGGGCGACATAGCGTCTCAGTGGCCAACACTGTAGCCTCACAGCAAGAAAGTCGCTAGTTCGAGTCGCGACTGGGTCAGTTGGTGTTTCTGTGTGGAGTTTGCATGTTCTCCCCGTGTTGGTGTGGGTTTCCTCCGGGTGCTCCGGTTTCCCCCACAGTCCAAACACATGCGCTATAGGGGAACTGATTAACTAAACTGGCTGTAGTGTGTGAGTGAGTGTGTGAATGAGTGTGTATGGGTGGGGCATCTTCTGTGTAAAATACATGCTTTAATAGTTGGTGGTTCATTCCGCTGTGGCGACCCCTGATGAATAAAGGGACTAATCTGAAGGAAAATGAATGAATGAACGAACATCAGTTAATTCAACTAAACTCATGATGAAAATTACAATAGCTTTTATTAATCTTAGCTCATGTTAATTTCTTAGTTAATGCCTAATAGTTTGTTAAAATCCTTTTATTAAATGCAGTTAATAGCCCCTTTCACACATACAGACCTTTCCGGAAAATTGCCGGCAGTTGTATGTGTGAACAGGTCCTTTTTGAAAATACCGGTAAATTCGTTCTGGCTATTTTCCGGAAAGAGAAGTTGTAACATTACCGGTAATTTGCTGGAATGCTGCGCTGTGTGAATGCAGAAGGAAGATTGCCGTAATAAGCGCGTGCACATCTAGAACATGCTCACGTGAGACGTCTGCTTTAGCCAATCACAACAGTCAGACGCATTTACGTCCGCGCGGTTTGTGAGGATAAAAGCCTTTGAATATTTTTCCAGACACATTTAGCTGCTAGAAGTTAGTCAGATCACGTTTATATGTTCTTCTTAATGCCAACTGTGTAAATAATCATCGATAAGATGCTTATGATAAGCCGCTGTTTGTTTACCTTCAAGCTTTGCGTGTGCCTGTGAAACAGCCTGTGAGCGCCTGCACACGCACATATTATGAACATCGACATGCGAAAGTGATCCTGCGGAAGTTGTTCACAATATTGATCATCCACAGAGTTTGTAATTTAGTCAAATGTTTACAAACACAAGCGCAGCCGTTTAAAGCTCATTTGTGGTGAATGATGTCAGAATTTGCCGGTATTTTGGAATGGATGTGAGAATGCTGTTTTCCGGAAAATTTCCGTAACATCCTCGCCTGTGTGAACAGCGCTTTTTTGAATATACCGGTAAAGTCGTTCCGGAAATTTTCCAGAAATTTACCGGTATCACTGTGTGAAAGCGGCTAATAACTACTCAAATGCAGTTGTATTTTGCAGCTAAAGTAAAAGTAAAAAAAAAAAAAACTAAAAGTAATTAGACTGATGGAACATGTGGGGTGTTTGGAGCATACAAATCCTTTATTTTTTTTTTTATTAAAGATAATTAAGTTCAATGATTTGGTTAAATTTAAAACAGCACAATTTATGTTTAAAGCTAGGAATAAATTACTGCCAAAATGCATACAAAAGGGGGATATAATCTGAGAGAAGAACAAAATTTTAGGAGGTTGAAAACCAGGACAACTTTAAAGAGTTTGTGTATGTCTGTCTGTGATGTGAAATTATGGAACAGTCTAGATCCGACTGTCAAACACTGTCAGGATAATTATCAATTTTAAAAGTTGCATAAATGTATATTATTAAAGGAATATAATGATGAAGGTGATTGGAAAAAGGATCAAATGAGAAAGGCATGATGAAATTTTAATTAATGGCTATTTGCAGTACTATGTGTTTGTGTTTTCTTTGGGTCTATATGTTATAAAATGTAAAGATAGAAATGGAATCAAACATATAACATGTCAAAGATGCCAAAAGGATCAAATATGTCTCATGTAAAAAGAAGAGATAAGTAAAAGAAGAAATAAGTTTAAGTAATAGATAAATGATGTATGTGGTAATGTGGTGGGAAAATAATAAGCTTGTGCTTTATCCCGCTCCATTTCCACCATGTTGAAATGTATTTTTTGTTAATGATATTTTATGTATTATATTTTTGTTCGAATATAAATAAATAAATCAAATCAAAGTCAATATCGTGATATTACTGATTATTAAAGCTGCAACAAGAAAATTTGATTCCATCATAAGCCTAATTACCTTTTATATTTTTATTGCATGCTGAAATTAATTGAAATTAATAAAATTGGCGCTACAATTAACATGCAAAATTGACATCCAGTTTTATTGTGTGCTAACAAGCTCTTGTGTTTCCCAGCGTGCACTGCAGAGACGGCTGCGCTATCGCTACCGCAGATCAAACCGTTGCAGACATGATGAAAAAGATGGCGGTCGTCGGTCACTGCATTTCCTGTCCTGAAGTGTTTCTGAGTTTGGATCAAATGCAGGAGCACAAAGAGCGAATGAAACACGACGTGGAGAACATCACACTCCTAGAGCGCGCACTTTTGCACTACAGCAACCACTGCGAAACCAGAACCAATCAGAAGAGAGCGTCAAACGAAGACCATTCAGCCAAACGAAAGAGAGCTGAAGACTCGGATTCGCAAGTCAAACGAGAAAGAAAGCATTCGAATGTGGCTTGGTTTTGCGAGTGCGGCCTTCGCTTCGTTGAAGAAAACCACGCAAAGAGACACCAGCAAGCCGCCAATCAGATCTTTCACAAATGTGCAGTGTGCGGGAAACTAACCGGCGAATCCTCCATCGCGCGCTTGCATATGAGTCGTTTCCATGGTGGCGCGCATCTATCCAACTTCCTGTTTTACTGTAGGAAGTGCAAAGTGGAAATGCCCAGGATGGAGGATATAATGGCGCACGTTAGCGCTAGCCATCAAGGACACAACTACTATGAAGAACGAGAAGATAGCGGCAGCGTAATTGATCAAATATCGGCAAAACCATCAACCAGCAAAGAATGTGAACCAATCAGAAGCGTCTCCCCAAAAAAGACAGAGTCGTGGCTTTGTCGAATGTGCGAGGATTTGTTTGATTCGGAGAAGTTGGTACGAAAGCATTGCGGAGATTTGAGCAGCCATAGTTTCCAGAGGTTTGCATGCGGTCACTGTCCGCAGAAGTTCTTCAAGGACTCGACTCTACGACGACATTGCGCTAACGAGCATAACGGTGATGTAGCGTTGCGCTACTTTTGTGGGCTTTGCGATAGCATGCTGTTCGATACCGAAAACGAGTTCCAGGTGCACTACGACAATCTGCACAGCCAAGATTACTACCGTTTGGAAACATCGACAAATCATTCGCAAAATGCACCGGAAGTCATTGTTAATAATAGTAACACGAGCGATTCCCAAACATGTCTTTGCATGGGATCAAAGAAATCCAGAGAGGAACGGAAGCCTGTTTATACAAACTGCATGAAGCAGTTGGCTGCTGAAAACAAATGCAGATACCGATGTCGCAATTGCGCTAAAAGCGCTCAGAGCTACGCTGAGATGAAGACGCACATCTTGTTGAAACACAAAGGAAATGGGAAGAGTTTTGATGTCGTGTGCATGATCTGCTCTCAGAGTCACAAAGATGTTCCCAGTTTTCATGCACACCATCATATACATCACTGCCAGGCAGAACCGTGCACTTATTCCCGACCCGATGCAGAGGAGAAACGAGCCTCCGGTGTGAACGATGCAGAGGAGAAACGAGCCTCCGGTGTGATCAACGCAGAGGAGAAACGAGCCTCCGGTGTGATCAACGCAGAGGAGAAACGAGTTTCCAGTGTGATGAACGCAGAGGAGAAACGAGCCTCCAGTGTGATGAACGCAGAGGAGAAACGAGCCTCTAGTGTGATGAACGCAGAGGAGAAACGAGCCTCTAGTGTGATCAACGCAGAGGAGATCTTCCCTCAGAGTAACGGTGAGCTTTTAGTGTCTGGATGGAGATCAAGCTTCTGTTTAATGATGTTTAATCGTCAGTCATGACTAGGCCCACAAAGTATCTGTGCGCGCAAAATTCCACAGATGATACAAAACATGTATTTTGTATGTAATCGAAAACGGCACTAAATTCCAACAAGGTGTGGACTACTAATCTGAAGAAACTCTTAACAAATACAAATTGTAATGTTTAGATTTGTGCCATCTTTGATGACTGTACTTGGCCTGTGAGTGATAATATTAATCTTTTTTTTTTGTTTTGTTTTTTTACAGTTGAAGAGGCTGAAGATGTAAATAATGCCATTGCCTCAGGTGTTCTCGATGTTAAAAAAGAGACCACCGTTTCACAAGACGATGGTGAAGGAGATGACGGTAGGTTTTCACTTTCCTCACTTGTTTACACTGAAAAAAAAATAATAATAATAAATAAATAAATATATATATATATATATATATATATTAAAAAAAGAAAACAAAAGTTACTTTTTACACTTTTTAGGGTTAAAAGTTGTTGGAGGAAAGATCAAGGTTCCATAATGGAACTCTAAAGCAGAAATGAACAGGAAAAAAAAAAAGATGAATCATAAAATACGGAAAACAGTGAAGAATCTGAAATATACAAAGCAGTTTTGTTGCATAGATATTTAAATGTGTCTACAATTTCTACCATTTATTCATTCATTCATTTTCTTTTCGACTTGGTCCCTTTATTAATCTGGTGTTGCCACAGCGGAATGAACCGCCAACTTATTCAGCATATGTTTCAGCCGCAACCCATCTCTGGAAAACATCCATACACTCTCATTCACAAACATACACTACAGACAATTTAGCCCACCCAATTCACCTGTACCGCATGTGTTTGGACTGTGGGGGAAACCGGAGCACCCGGAGGAAACCCATGCGAACGCGGGGAGAACATGCAAACTCCACACAGAAATGCCAACTGACCCAGCCAAGGCTCAAATCAGCGACCTTCTTGCTGTAAGGCGATAGCACTACCTACTGCGCCACCCAATTTCTACCATAAACATGTTTTATATCTATAAATCTATATAAATAAACATTTTCTCAAATATATGCATGCATGCGTGTATTATATATACAGTTGAAGTCAGAATTATTAGCCCCCTTTCAATTTTTTCTTCTTTTTTAAAATATTTCCCAAATGGTTTTTAACAGAGCAAGGAAATTTTCACAGTATGTCTGATAATATTTTTTCTTCTGGAGAAAGTTTTATTTTTTATTTTTTTTTGCTAGAATAAAAGCAGTTTTTAATTTTTTAAAAACCATTTTGGGACAAAATTATTAGCCCCTTTAAGCTAATTTTTTTTTTCAATAGTCTAGAGAACAAACCATCATTATGCAATAACTTGCCTAATTACCCTAACCTGCCTAGTTCACCTATTAATCTAGTTAAGCCTTTAAATGTCAATTTAAGCTGTATAAAAGTGTCCTGAAAAATATCAAGTAAAATATTATTTACTGTCATCATGGGAAAGATAAAATAAATCTTTTATTAGAAATAAGTTTTTAAAACTATTATGATTAGAAATGTGCAAAAACAATCTTCCCTCCATTAAACAGAAATTGGGGAAAAAAATAAACAGGGGTAATAATAATACAGGGGGGCTAATAATTCTGACTTTAACTGTATATATATATATATATATATATATATATATATATATATATACATAATAAATATGCACAGTACACACACTTCAGTTGTCAAAACAAACTTTTCTTTTTGGATGCGATTAACCGCGATTAATTTTTGCCCAGCATGTAGAATGCAAGATTGTGCACCTTTTAAAACAGTAATTATTGTGAAAAGCGATGTACAATTAGTCTGAATTAAATTCTGATATACTGATAAGCTGATTAAGAAACATTTCGAAAAAAATTTTTTATTTAAATTGAAAAATTGTAACATTAAGTTTATATCAGCATTAGCAAATCAACTACACTCAAAATTATTTTGCAGCTTGTCTAAACTACTTGGGTAAAATGAGCTGAAACAACACAAATCTTGCGATATCATTATTTTTTTGGGACAACTTAATTGTTTTATGTTCAGTCCACTTAAATTTGAGTTACGTTAACTTGTTAGATTTGTGTTCGGACTACCTGAATGAATTGTGTGGAATACAGTATTTTTTACAGTGTTAAAACTAGAGTAAATTGAGCTGAAATGACACAATTATTGAGATTTTTTTGGGACAAATTATTTCTTTTTATATTCAGCCCGCATAAATTTAAGTTGCATTAACTTATTGGATTTATATTGGGACTACCTGAATGAATTGTGTGGAACCCAGCATTATTTACAGTGTTTAAACTACTTGAGTAAAATGAGCTGAAACGACACAAGTCCTGAGATTTTTTTGGGACAACTTAATTGTTTTATATTCAATCCACTTAAATTTGTTAAGTTTACTTAATTAATTTGTGTTGGGACTACCTATTGTGCGTAACCCAGCCTTTTGTACAGTGTAAGCACATGGAATACATGTAAGATTAAATTTCAGTGCTCATTCGTCTTCATCCTCAGCTAAATTTGACGAGGACATGAAGCAGGCTGTGGCCTTGAGTCTGAAGGAGGCCAGGAAAACTGCAGATCTGAGAACGGGTGCGTCACACCATCACCAATTCACTATCTGAACACGTTTTTTTGCAACAATAGTGCTAAAGTTCTGCTATTTCTGTTATTTCCGAACAGTGTAGAGGCTGTACTGAGAGTTTCTGTGAGCGTCTCACTTCATGCATGAGTCAATCTGAGCTTTATTTTGCTAGTTTGTGTAGCAGAAAGAAGATTAGTGGTGTTGGTAGGTTTCTTTTCTGTGATTATAAGGGGTTGTAGGTGGGTCTGATGAGCACATGTGTGTGGGTGGTGCTGGGTTTGGGCGTAACATCACTCATGCTGAATAATGTCACTGCAACAACACTTTTCTATGAGTAGTCACTGGATGGATCCATTTTCATATTTGATTATTGTTTTTAATTGATATATGCATTTTAGATATTTTTTTTAAACTAATAAACATTTATGTTATTGGTTTTAGTGTAGTTTATGTCTTTAATTGATCATACTTCACATTTAAATGGCAAAAATAAAGTATTATATCGAAGCTGTCACTCTTTAAATACAACAATTGCTGCAGTAAATATCTTCGATACACTGAATAAAATGTGTAATCACTGAACATTTAGTAAATTTGATCTCTAAATGAGCATAAATACATTGCTTGTTTTAAATTAATATATAAAATGTGGATTTTTGAAACCAGTAAACATTGATGTTATTATTAGTGGACTTCAATTGATCATACTTCACATTTAAATGGCAAAAATGCAGTATTTTATTGAAGCGGTCACTCTTTAAATATAGCATTTGCTGCATTTTGTGCCATTAAATGTCTTTGTTACACTAAATAAATTGAGCAATCGCTGGATGCATGGAATCAATCAGTAAGTTTGACCACTAAATGTGCATTAATA